TTGATTGTGACGGTTGCGAGGGTCGGTGATTTACGTGCTGTTCGGAGTATATGTTGATATAGAGGGGCTTGGAGTTTCGATGTCCAGGGATGTTCTCAACTCTGTGTTGAGTTGCACGGCGTCTTGCGGGGGGCCCATCGAGCCTGTTCTCGAACGCTTTGAAAGACACCGATTGAGCCGGATATCGTTACTCTCACCATCATCGTTAAGTTGTTTTGCAATACGGATAAGCATTCGCGGGATCACCTTGTGCCAATCATTGAAAGGATGGCTGGACAGTTGTTAACGCGTGTGGAGGTGGCCTAAAAAGTGCAGTGGTGGTTGCAAAGAAAAACGTGGCGGATGTTCTCGGGACTCGAAACGTAGTCCTCGCTGGCTTACAAGCTTGGAAGGATCTTTGACACTTTTTACGCTGTTCTCTGCCATCCTCTGTAAAACCGACGCTCGTCGCCTTTTCAGTGTTGCTACGTATATCACAGAGACTCAGAGAACCTCCCTATCTATGCATATTCTTGCCATCATGAAATCACGTGGTGTTCAACCCGACGCTGACGCTTACGGTGTCGCCCTTCTCTGTCACCTCGTGAAAGACGATCGGATGGAGCTCGTGAAGTTTGTGGAGATGATGAACGAGATGGAGTCGAACCAGACCGTTTTTACTATCATCGTCTCATTAAGTCTTATTTTCAGAGAAAGGAAGTGGTGCATGCTCTCCAAGTGTTTCGGATGTTAGTCATGGAGCAAGAGGACTGCCGAAACATCAAACCGTCCGTAGACGCGCATCTCGTCGCATTGTTCTGTCTCAGCTTCAAAATTGTCTGGGAGCCGTGTCGTGACTCAAGTTCTTTCGGAAACCTTGAAACATCTTCCCAGCCATCCACTTTGGAAATCACCTCGTCTTTCTAGTTTCTTCCTTCGCTACTCTCCCACCCAAACTCAACCGAAATCAGTTACATTCTTCACCTGGTGTCCCCCGAAACACACATATTGGCGTCCTCCCTAAAACTCCTAAAATTGGCTCCAACCTTCGCCTGAAATACTCGTCACTTTTGTTGCATCGGCTTCATCACAATCGTCAACACATTGATCCGCACGTCGCGTCTGCCTATCTTTCCGCTTGTGCACGTGAAGCTCGGAGCGCGGTTATCGTGAAAACGGTGAGGCGTTCTCGAGCGTCGGAACTCGTCCGCGGTTCCCGACGCGTCGTAGAAAACCATACCACGCCGACGTGGACGGAAATTTGTGGAAAGGGTTAAGGTGCGTCGACGTGGACGTAGGCCTGTGGGGGGCGTAAAGGTCATGAATATGGTGAAGACGTTAGAAGGGTTGGGCGCGGATGTTACCGATCCGAGGATTTTGAAAGCGGCGCTTAATGCGGCGATGGTGATGAGGATTATCCGGGATCAAGGGTTCTTGCTGGATTAATAGGGGAGAGGTGACGCCGGGATGTATGTGATATTAATTTGGTGTGAGAGTGTGATGGGGGATGTTGGGAGGGCGATGGAGGTGTATAGGAAGATGCAGGAGAGGTTTAAGGTTGGGAGGGGTTTGTTGAGGAAGGCGATGAAGGGCTACTTGTGGGTTTAGTGAGAAAGGTGGTAAGGAGACGGTTAGGGGTTTTTAAAAGGGTTGTTCGAGGTCGGAATTGTGCCTCGGGTTAAGACTAGGATGTTGGTGAAGAGACGGATGGGAAAGGTGTATGCAGAGTTTTTTGGGGTAAAGGTCGGCAATAGTGGGATGGATGTGAAGGCAGTGAGAAGCCGCTAAATAACGCCGTTTCTACTGGGGAGTTTGACAATGAAGGTAGAAAGGACGGGGAGAAGTCCAGCGATGAAGGGAAGGGGCCGCCCACTGTGGCTGCCAAGGGGAAAACGGTGCATCCTGCAGGGCAGGAGCCGTCTTTTTCGCGTCAAACCAAGGGTGGATGATGACGATTACGATAACTTTTTTAGATACTTTTTATGCTTGGGAATACTTTGGATACCCTCTACCCACTTTTATAATCGCATGGGTAGATTGATGATGGAATAATAGAAGTTGCTTTGACATGCATCATGAATTGTCACCCTTTTTTTTTACAGCAATGTAATGGCAGACAACAGCATTCAGCTCGCCTTCCCAGCGATAAGATTGGGAAGGACCAAGATATAGATTCATTTGCCGATAACTTGGAGGAAAACCGTAAGTCTTGATCAAATGCATGCAGTTACCATAGTCCGTTTTTCTTGCATGCATGCAAGCATTCGCAATCATTGATATGGTTTTTCCAGATCTGGTTGGATTGTAAAACGGAACCCCCATCCCACTATCCAGATGCCGGAACTGCGGTCGCTTCCTATATCTCGTCACTCAAATTGTTGCAGCGCATCCTGGACGCAAGAACGGATTCTGTATGTATGGGGTGTAACCAAAAAGCATGCATGACTAAGAACAGGTTCGGCATCTCTCTTTTACCATGAACTAATTTTCCCAAGTTGGCTCGTTTTACGTGGCATCAAACCGACAAAGAATAAACCCAAGACGCCAAAAAAGAACGCAACGCCAAATTTTAAAGCCACCCCACGCCAACAAAAAAGGTGGCGAGTTTCGGGACACCACTTCCGCCGCCTGTGTTTGGGGAGGGTGAGATGTGGGGAGATGATACAGGTGTGAAGATTGCATGGGGAGATGAAGAATATGTGGTTATGCCTGCAGAAACGCCTGTGAAAGGCGGAGATGATTTTGATGGGCTGCTAGCGGCAAGGGAGAAGAGGGGGATGATACACCGGAAAGGGAAAGAAGAAGGGAAGAAGGTTAGGCACGACACGCATTTTTGCGCTCAATGATTGAATACTTTTATAGATGAAAGAGCCGGAGGTTAAGGAGGTTGAAGTGAAAGAATTGGCCGTTGTGGAGCCCATACACCTGCTGAAGCACCGAAAAAGAAACTCACTCTGACGTCCTGCGACAACTATCGACGAAACCGCAGCCGTTGACACACCGCATCAACTGCCTTGCTGAATCATGGTCAAAAGCCGCATCCTTCCCCGGGTTCTCCTGGAATTTGCGTACGAAGAAGATTCCCCTGATGCCTCTGAACAATACAAATACGAGAACAAACTTTATGAGCAGTATCGCAAGTCTGGAGGGATCCCTATTGATACGGATGCGCTGGACGATGGTGATGATGGTAGTGGTATGAGTTGGGCTGGCGAGGGGTATGAAAAAGTAAGACCGAAAGGATACGACAAATTGTTCAAAAGATTTTATAAAACTGTTGAGAAGGAGCCTGAACAGTGTTTAAGGTATGCTTTTTGATTAACTTCACGTATGCTGATATTTGTTTAAGGTACGCGTTTAACGGACAACCATTATTTTACGCGTCAGACGCGGTATTCCAATCCCTCACGACAGTGGGACCTCCACCGTGTCCGCAGTGTCAATCTCCACGTGTTTTCGAAATGCAACTCATGCCTGCTGTACTCTCCCTTCTGCCTACCGAGCAACTTGCAGCACGGACAAGGAAAGAAGAGGCAAAAGCAGAAGTCAAATTACCGTCAAAGGAACAATGCCTACTCCGGAAGATCTCGCAATGATGTTATCTCAGATGTCGCTGGGAATGGATTTTGGAACGATTTTGGTATATACATGTGCTAAAGATTGCGGGGGTAGTGAGATCACGGGTGAGGATGTGGTTTATTTAGAGGAGTTTGCTATTGTGCAGCAGGAGAGGTGGGGCTGAACTTCTTCCAGCTTTTCTTCTCTCTTCTTCCTGTCACTATTTTATGCATACCCTTAACAATATAATTCATACTGGCCATTCACTTTTTCTTTTTCGTCTTCTTCACGTCATTCTTGACCTCCGCATTTTCACTCGCTTGATCTTTCGCTTCTCTCCTCTCTTTTCCTCTTCTCGTCACCCTGTCCTCAAAATCTTCACCTCCATCCGCAAATGGATTATCCTTCAGCCCCAAGAAATTGTGGATCTCTTTCGCGACCAACTTAAGCTTTTCCTTATTCGCATCCCCCAAGACCAACGTCTCTGCAGTTCGAATTCGGAGATACCCTCCGCCTCCAACATGTCCCGTTGGACCTGCCGACGACAAAAACTCCATTTCTAGCGCCCATCCCTTTGATTTCTTTGTCACATCGTCTTCTACGAGCACAGCCTTGAAAAAGCCTGTTAGCATTTACAATCATATTAATGAATCAACCAACCCTCACAAGTTCATCAGCTGAGGCAACACGCATCCATGATATCCTGCCCAGCTTTTTCTTGATCACGGCAACTCTGTTTGATCCGACGCCTGATCCTGGTTTCCGGCGATCTATTTCTGTCACGAATGTATCATCGATCATTTGGTATGATATCAATGCAAAGGAGAGGACGGTGAGGATTCGGACCCAAATTTCAGCATAGGTGACGCTGAGAAAGACTGTGCCAACCTGCATTATATCTTAGTAGATGAGTTTAGATATGAGCTTACGATGAAAACAATTGTTGCGACTGTATAATCTGCCATTGTGGGCTCAATGAGGGTGATCGTGAGGTGGTCATTGTTTTTGTGGATGTGTGGGGATATGTGTCGATTAAACATTTTTGAGTGCGTAATTGTCACACACTTTTTGGTGCTGTTGACACTGGTTTGACTCGGAATCATTTCGTAAGTCCTCGAAGCTATACGTGATGAGGAAGCTGCAGATATCATATAGAAACACAATATAATGCCACCGAGGTCCTCCATCCTCCTTTTTCTTGAATCGGGTGGAAAGAATTCAATGCAAGTCCACTTACATTTGCAATATGGCATCAGGCCAGCCAGCACAATGAAGATAACGGTGAAACTTGCAGAACAAATATAACAGTGACCAAAAAGGCTAACAAAGCTAAAATAACAGCAAGGTAAGTTTTTTAATAAAAAAATTAAAGATTGAAGGCTGAGGAGAGAGACAAGGGTGAGAGCCTCTACTTTTCGTAGTAAGCAGTATATATTTGTTCTTGAAGGCGAATGTTCAACTACGCCTCCGTAGCTCAGTTGGTAGAGCGTGAGCCTTTTATGGGACTTCCTCCCTTCCGTTGAAAGCTTAAGGTCCAGGGTTCGAGCCCCTGCGGAGGCGAACAACTTTTTCTAAAATTACACAAATAATCTTTTTACAAAATAGTTCCCGAGAATATTTCATTTATTATTAAAAGTCATCTTGAATTTGATCACACTCACTCTTTTCGACGCGTTAACTTTCCATTTTGGTTAAACCATTTATGCAATATATCCTTGAATTTTGATACTCTAGTTAGTAGTTACTGCTCTCATAACAGCATTCGCTCCAGGCCATTGTCCTTCACGTATATAAATCAACATATTAGATCAGATCAGCAAAGCCTGGCAGAACGTCATTTCAGAATTCTTGCCAGCCCTACCACGTGTAGCGTCATAGACCATCCGCTGAGATTTGGTCGATAAGACTTTTTAATCTCCAGACCTCTCTTTTTGCTGGAAACGATTATGGCATTTGTTCCTTGGCTTCTTCCTTGAATGCAATTCTTGATTTAAAAAGTTGTTACAGCTTAACTTTTCCCTTACTTGACTTCAGCTGTATCTTTCATTGCCTCTCACCGTTCCTGCCCGGTTTGTATACCCCTATTGCCGCATTATATTAATTGTACCGGTCCTTCATCGTTAGTGCCAATAGCTGTCAATATAAGAACTCTTAAAACTTCTAAACTCTTTTAAACTTTTCCCTAAAATTTTGTTTTTTTATTTGACTATAAACCTCTTCTTTAGACGTGAGCCACACGTTTTCACGCACTGGTATCTGTAGTTTTCTCCCCAGTGTTTGTAATAAATTACAACCTCTTACTCTAAGAATACTGTTGACTAGAAGTATTTGCAGGGTCGATATTTACACTGATTTATGGATGGTGCCACCGCAAATGTAATCGTTTCTGTGCCGGCTTCATCACCAGACTAACTTTATACAGAAATGGTGCATAAAGAACATAAAAGACCAGAATATTTACGGACTCGGCTTTCCTTTGTAAGATGATATTGAACAATGAAAACAACAAACAAAATATTAAATTAAGTCTTGTTACGTTGCAAAGATACAGCTTCAGCCGGCCGCGGAGGAACGGACCGGCCGATATTTGCTCCTGTCGTCGCACACAATGCTATTAGTCCCAGCAACAAGAAAGTTCTCAAGGCTCTGTGACTGGCCCTTGCCATCTTGTCCATCACCCATTTCATATAATAAGCGATCAGAAAAGCCATGACGTCGATCAAGAGACGCATGAGCCATTATTTGCCCCCTCGACCCCAACGCACCTCCACCTATCGTCCCATCAATAGTTTCCTCCTCCGTGCTCCTCACAGAAGAAGCCTTGGTGTAACGGTGTAGAGTTCTAGAGCGAACAGCCTTTGCAGACTCGATCGTCCTTTCTGCAGACTTCCACACCTCCAATGACTTCAATTGATGCCGATCTTAACATATCAATCCTTGCGATACAGAAAGCGGGCGAGGAAGAGAGGATGTCGTATGTATCGAAGCGTCCGGTTGGGAAGGAGAAAAGAAATTCTTATTTAGGTCTTTTCGTGTGGGTGTAAAGTAACGCACGGAACTGATAACAGGCGTTTGAGCCAATTGGTCTAACCTCGGATGATGAAATAATGTTAAAATTTTGAGCAGGGTCAACGGATAGTCGCCGTGGAAGAGAGGATGTCAGCGGCCACGTTGGCAACGGCGCACCAGGTTTCGAGGCGAAAAATTCTGCGTTTTTCAAGTCTCTTCGAGGTGGAGTTGGGAAACCGTGCGGATATGGGACTTGGTGGTCTGGCTTTGTAGAAGTTCTCCGGGTTTGCTGAATACTGAGTAAGCCTGTCGTCGGGCGATTCTGATAACTCTCCAGAATTGACCAGGACGACAAGTTCGGATCGATGAATATTGTTCGAATCCGGATTCGTACAAGCAGTTAGCGGCAACGTCTCACTACCACTCAAAGGATGACTTCCTCTGATATGGGTTGCAGTGTAGTCGTCATTTTGGGTAATGCTGGCCTCAACATCTTGCGCGCGTGCGCCTTTGAGCCTTGTCTGTCTTGATCTCCTTTTCTTAGTGATTTCAAAATTCGCACTTGAAAGTGAGGCTTCAGAGAGAGCCAGAGACGGACGAATCTCCAAGGTGACCTCACCTCATCGTCCCTAGGTACGGCTGCACATCTGCGTGAGCCCCTGACGGTTTGGCTGTATCAAAACCCTCTGATTTGGAAGTGGTTGTGTCAAGTCGAACCCAAAGAGAGCTGCAGGTCCACCCCACATAGACACCCTACTAAATGCCCATTCAACGTAGTATGATTTGGTTCGACTCCTTCTGAATATATCCTTTTCCTTTTCAGGTTCAACGTTCCGGGCAGGAATAGGATCCCAAATGATAGTTTTTCTTCGAGCCTCCTTCGACACCCTCTGTTGGTAAGAGGCAGTAACAGGAAGGACAATAGGCATGGCAGGAATAGCGTCGTCGGTAAAGCTGTTCGAGTAGACTTTAGAGCGCGTCTTATTAAAGACACTTTCTCTTTCCGCTTTAACAATGCTTCAACGACTTTCGGTGCAAGTTCTCGTTATCCTCAGATACCCCAATATCGTATGGTATTGCAGAAACCCCAGGCCCCGCAGTGACATGTATAGGTGGTACTATATCCGCAGGCGACGATTCTGCATTTTGGACCACAATCGTGGGGATTTTATCCACATTCTCAAAGGTACTTTTCCGAAAGCCATAAGCCGATGGGAAAAATGAAAACCCTGACCCTTCACGGCTCCGACCAATAGTTAGTCTACTGCCTCGGTTGGCGTTCCTTAGTGCGCTGTTGCCACCATGCACGTCGACGAGCATCGAGGTCGGCGTCATTGCACTCTTGGTCTTCATCTGATTCAGAGTCTTCGCGAAGATCAATACCAATAATTTTCGATTGACCTCGCATCATAAGAGCCGAATGCCGCGAATATCCGTCTCTTGCTGCAGGTGACCTGGATGAACCTTGCCCCTCTTTTCCACTTTGTACGGGTATACTAAGTCTGCTCATTCTAATGCAAGTTATTAGACTAAATGCGTATGTATGTATGGCGTTACAATACCTTTTGTTTTGCTCTCGCTGAAGGAGCATGTAGTAGGACTCTCCTTGCGCCAAGAACTCGTAGCTCTCCTTTGGGTTCCCAGGAGTTGGAGCATCAAAAAAAAGACACTTCTTCTAAATCTTCGCCGCAAGGCTGATGCATTCTTTCTTGCTAAAAGTTGCAGGTCCGGCGGAGGCAGATGATACCGGCGGGTCTTTGTCGTATCAAATCGGTCAAGATAAAGAAGAAACATAAAGTCATGCATGGTTGAAGAAACTGAATCGATGTCAGAATGACAAGAAACAGTAATGCCACAAAGGTTCCATGGTATCCTGGGTATGCGCGCAACCCAAACAAGTTTCTCATAGATTCTAGTATCGATATGTAAGATAAGATGGTATTGGTTGGCTGGCTCTCACCTTGATCACTGCTTGACACCGTCGCTGGTGACATAACGAGCAGCCAAGCAGTCAAGTTATATGTCGCGTTGGTTAGCGTCTCTGTGGAGTTTCCGTCTGACGGAAAATGCTTCCACTGACGTTACTGAAGTGGTCATGTCTCAAAAGTAACTTCCCTTCTGACGGTTTCGTTTCTGTGATTTTTTGTCTCCCGAACCCCTGGTAGGTTTTGGCGGCACTCATCGGTTGACAAGCGTTCATGACAACCTTTTCAAAAAGATTCCACATCCTCTTACATCGAAAAGCTACAAGGCAACTGTTCTACGAAATACACAGAAAGATAATCTCGCTAAAAGCGTTATAGTTTACATGAGGCCATTCGATGTTGGAACACTGCTAAAGGGAGAGAGTTGGGTATACAAGAATTTCAGCGGTCAAGTTTTGAGAATAATGTCTAGGCCTGATCCAGCACCGTGACCACGCCCTTGCGGGTTTGTGCTAAGATCAAAAGTAGGATTGAGAAGGAGTTTAAGCACGGGTGCAGGGATAAGTCGCGGCTGACCATCTTCGCCGTTTCCTCCGAAACTGCTATTGCTGGAGAAATGTTTGGGGAACCCAAAGCACTTCTAAAGCTTCTTCATTCATATCGATGCGATCCTCATCTGAAATATCGATGCCGTAAAGCGTTAAATATTGAGGACTGAACGAAAATGATGATTCAGCAAGCTAGGAAACAAGAAAAACAAAACCAAACAAAAAACCAATGTTAATCAATTACCCCTGTTGGCATTTCTCTAAAATGGAGTGAAAATTTCCACATCGGCTACCTGCCGTGACGTAGCATCGCTTCTTTAAACTCTGTCAAAGTAATCCTATCATCCTGTAACACATGAGTTAGATGTTTTGAAAACAGATATTCTACGACATGGAAGAGCAAGAAAACTCACCAAAGATTTCTTTCCATGTGAATAAGAGCCAGCCTTTATTACCATTCTGCGACGAATTGACGTGCGAATTTGGCCTTTCGGATCGCAGGATATGCACCAAGCGTGACCCTTATCCGACACAGGTTCCACCGGCTGCTTTCCATAGGTGTCTGCAGGAGACTCTTGCTCTAATTTAATCTTCTCCTGAGACATGAGCGATGGAATGAATGATGGCATCGGAAAATTACAACATGATCCTCAAAATCCTGAAGAGTGAAGGCATCTGTATGGATCGGACGCTTGCAGATGCCACAATGTCCTCGATCAGGTCGCAAGGCTCGAGCTCGAGTGCGTTTTGCTCTGACCATCAGCGTATGAACGTCTTGACCTTGAGTTCTTGTACCGCTTGTAGCAGCTCGCGCTCGTATGAATGGCTCTCGAGCATGCAAAAGATAATATCCTTGTATTCTCCAAATGTTGCCTTTGATTGGGTTGCCTGAAGAATTCGGCCAAGGATGGATGAAGCGCTAACTTTCCCAACCAAATCCTCTAGTAACCTCTCAGTCAAGGCCCTCACACTGCACCAACATTACGGAGACAGCTGCATCTCGAGACGGAGAAGGCTCACGGCTGTTCAGCATATGACATGACTGGAGTGGCAATGTTGGTGGACCCGGAGTAAGGGG